CTGCATTGATTCATATACACTACCTCCCGTTTCCAAAAAAAAAGAGTCGTGCTTCTTTCGAAATTGTAAATTCTAAAACATAGCGAAGTATTTTCTGTGTCAGCAGATATAAGCCATGGCCAACAGTTTTAATGTTAAGATATTTCGTATATAGAATATCTTGACCTCCACCGACGAGGTAACTCTCATTCGTAAATTCCTCAGGCAAAATGTTTTTGCTTAGTGAGTCGATCTTCGAATCGGAACGCCTAATAAGTATTTTATCGCCACGTTTCCACAAAAGTGCTTCGCACTTTTTACGCGCGCACGGATTAAGTTGTTTTCCGCGTGGGAAACGCGCGATATCGCGCGATCAAAAATCCGCCTAATTTTAATTGCGCAGTAATTTAACTCGTTCGCTTTAATTATACTTTAATTATCTAACGCGCCTCGACGTGGTAACGAGTGCGCGCGCGTTAAGTTAATCTCGTAAATCATTGTCGCGATCCGAGAGACCCCCCCATATGATCATCCGACGCTTCCGTCTCTCTTAATTACTTAATCACTTATCACTGTCGCTGTCATCCAGCTGTGTAAATATTTTCAGTATCGAGAATCGTTTCGCGCGTCTCCCGCGAGCGTCTCCCGCTAATAATAAGCTCTGATTCAATTTTCGTTCTTCTTTGTCCTCTACACACCGAGAGGGTAGAGCTGCAATCTAGAAAGGGACGTGAGGAACTATAGTGGCTAATCAAAGTTAGGTAACTTAAATTGCCGGTGCGGCGCAGCTGCAATCCCGGCGTGCACGGACAAGTTTTGCCTGCCGAGTTACAGATCGATATGCCGAGATTTTATCTAAAAATCTATACCATAGAACGGACAACAACGCCGGTTCTGACCACGAAAGGTGTTACTGTAATCGCACGAAACGTGCGAAGCATAACATCTAATAAAATCACGGCTCGCGATGCGCTCCGTTAATAATAACTTGGATATAATAAAAATCACTATTTATCCATCAGTATTTCAATTGATCTCTTCATTCAGTCGATATTTCTCAATTCTACATTCGATGGTTCAGATGTTTTGCCAGCGTCGTCGCGCATGTCCTTGTAGATCTTCCTACAATATTAATCGATTTGATCGTGTTGCTTGAAATTTCCAAAAATGTTTGCACTTTAAGCGAAATAAATAGATTTGGACGTTGGAAAGAATGGAAAGAAAGAAAGCGAAGATTCTAAGTGCAAAAAAAAAAAACAACACGAACAGACGAATAATCTTAACGTGATCTTAAGAAAGCGACGAAAATTCTAAACAGACAGCGCATAGAAATTCGCTCGGCTCAAGGCAATTTCATGTTAACCGCATTTTACAATTTACCGCGCACGGGAGACGCGCGGCTGGTAAGAATTTGTTTCTGATCGACGGTGATTCTTGATTTACGCCTACCTGTTTTTATTTGCGTATATGCGTTGCTCAGGGGACGCGTTTCGCAGGACGATCGATGAGAATCGGCGCGAGGATCAGCGACGTTCGCGTATAGATATCGAAAGGTTCCGGTGGCCTGATTGGAGCTTCGGTGTGGTTTCCGATGTTAAAAGGACGCGTCGGAGTCGGCTCCTTTTCTTCGTACGTGATATCGATCCCCGCGAGAGATGCCGACACGTCGCACGCACCACGGCAGCTGAGCACCAACTGACGCGATTGCTCGCCGGGCGAGACGACGTCGGGCTATAGATGGCGTCTATCCCGCTCGGTGAGCGGTTGGTCAACAGTTCGGCATTCGCAAGGTAGGTAGGTAGGTAGGTAGGTATGTACACACGCAGGTAGAGAGATATGTACGTATGTACGTATGCGCGTGTACAATGGCGCGCGTTAATGGTGTGCACCTGTGCAGATGCACTCGCAATTAAGGTAGACGCAATTATTCAGGGCCGGGCTATAATGGTCATAAATCATTATCAGACCTCGGATTAAGATGGTATTAGGCTGGAAACCGCTTTAGAAACTCGATATAATAAGGGATAATAATGGCGAATAACTAACATATTAATTTTATTTATGAAATATATTAATATAAAATGTTTAATATAAAATTAGTAACAAAATTAATAATGTATATATCAAATATTCGTTATTGCATATGCACAATAACAATGAATGAGCTGCGATGAGATACGATTGCTCACTCGAATTCGAGCGGGCTTTACCGGTGCGGAATTTAATTCAAGTTTAATCAAGCTTATCGTCTCTTATCACATTCTCTTGAGATACATAAGTATACTGAACCTTGAATTAAAAAAATTCTGCTTCAAAAAAGACCACGCTTTGATAAGAGTATTTAAGGCATTTAATCCGGCGTTACCAAGGCGAAAGTATATGGCACAATTACTAAGGTGATGTTTATTAAATTCCAGCTAATCCAAGAGCTTAAGTCGTAATGACATGAAATTTTTGGAATGTTTCAAATTAAATTTGGAGATCCAAGCTATGTACACCAACAAAATTGATGTAATTAGAAATTATTTTAAATTGTTTTTATATTATATTACATGACAGATACAGGTCGTGAAAATAGCAGTATGTTCTAGAGTTTGCCGTGTTCTTTAAAGCCGGATTGAGATACGAAATGTGAAATGCGATAAGTGGCTCGTAAACGTATTCATGTATTAACATCATACGTTTCTGGCTTGGCGAACAAAATATACCGCGAGTAATTAAGAGTAAACGGAATGAGCACGGCGCTACAAAGTACCGGAAGGGGCGGCAGTTTATATTTGCAATGGTGTCATTAACGCAACGCACCGTACACCTACGCAATTTGCACGCACGCGGGGAGATAGTACATACGTGCCTACGCGCCGATACGAAGCGCGCGGCTGCGGAAGTGTGCAGTACCTGCGATGTCTCCAAGTGAATGAACGAGATGCAATCGCGCGGCCTTACACGCGAATGTTTTGTGTGTCCTTTGTGTCTTAAAATATCCTTGTTTTTTCCCCCCCAGCTATTGTTCGCGCATCGCGCAGCGAAATGAAACGTGCATTCTGTGCTACGTAACGCCAGACGTTGGCGCCATACGTAATTTTCTCGACAAGAAATGAAGCATGAATCAATCTGAATGTTTAAATACAATATTTCTCGTAGGCTTTGTTAAGTTGTAGAGTTTCTGTTTTTTTTTAATTACGAAAACGTATTGATTTAAGCTTATTATATGTAATTAAATAAAAAGTACGTTATCTGAGGAAGAATATGTTACAGCTGCTTTTATATATAATATACATGTTGTATATTTTATCTATGTGTGTAAAATTTTCGAAAAAAAATTTGATTTCGCAAAGATTATTGCTCCTGCACCAACGGAAGTGTAATTTCTCCTAACGCTGTAGTAAATGATTTAGCAATCAGCCTCAATTCTCCGAAAGAAAGTGGCCGATGAGTAATACTCCAATAGAATTTTATATGTTAAATTCGAAGCACGAAAAATAACTTTCGTCGCCGCTCATAATTGGTGAAAGTAAAGTGCGTTTACCCGCCCGCATCATTGCGCTTAAGTTTACTTCGCCGTAATGAACCATATTGCTAATATATGTCTTGCTGTTAGCGAAAATTACCGGAATATCGAATACGTGTTGTTATCACGAAAACAGGAAAAAAATTCTTGTTAATTATATATAATATTCCCTCCTATATAATTTTTTATGCAAATTATTTAATTATATATTGTTATTATTGAATTTTGATTTCTTATGTGCACCATGTACATATTTCGTATGTTGCAGTAATCAGCTGGTATCAACAAGATTTTAAAAAATTAAAATTGCCCATAGTAAATATAACATAATTCAAGACAATAAAATTAACAAATATAAACGGATAGGCTATAAAGAAATAGTATAAAATTGGCGCATTATAAAATTAAACATAATTATTTTTTAAATTCAATATATTCATTGAAACATGCTATATAACTATAAAATATTTTATGTATTTTTATTTATGTATGCGATAATACATGTGTTAAAAGTGCATTTCAAAGAATATCTGTATTTTGTCTAATGCGCCAATTTATATAATGTTTAATCCTGAAAAGAGAAAATACGAATCACAAATTTCATTTAAAGAATATTTGGGAAAGGATATTTTAACAATATATCAGTTTTAATTCCTATACTGCTATAGTATTATTATACGCCTTTCTGCTTGTATTTATTTTTCCCATCATTTATCGGACAATGAAAATTCAGATTTAATCAATTATGTGTATAAATTGATACCGAAATTGTAACAACAAATAATGCTATTAATATATCTTCATGTACAATAAATTACACATATTGCTCAGGATTAAATATTACCTATAATTAATCTGTTCTATAAGCCGATCCGTATTAAGTTAAAGCAATGGATCTATCAATTACATTTCTCTGTGCTATTCTTTTATTTTATTAACTCGACATATATCTCCATATACCCTATGTGATATGATTCTATATGCACAGTAAACTCTTATACATAAATAAATCCATTACTTCCAATTAAAATGGAATTTTATTCACCGGTACAATGCGCAGCAGAGGAGTTGTAGTCACAACGTTGATCTGCAGCATTCGAAATAATTCGGAATTAAAGCATCGTCTAAATTAATTAACGATACGAAAAATAATTATCGCGCATTATTGAATTCTTTATTCGTTTTTCAACCAGTTAATTATTAAAGTAATTGTAATATTAACTACAAATTAAATTTAATGTACAAGCTATATGCTCTAACTCTAACGAACTCATCCATCACTTAAATTAAATTAAAAATACTAAAAGCGCAATATTATCCACATTTATAATGCATTATTATAAAATTCTATGCTATTATAAATTCTATTAAAAATCATATTCAAAAATTTATATAAGCTTTTATAAAATTTACTAAGAAAATCTTTTTCTTTCAGCAGTCTCTTATTCAGTCATTCGGGTAAATGGAAATGGATAATTAATTCCGGAATAATGAATAGTAAATTATTTACTCCGCGGTTGCTTCGCCGTCGCCTGATGCCTCCTCTCCCTCTCTCCACATTCCTTCGTTGCACTCACTCAACATAACACTTGCGAAAACGCGGTTAATTACGAATCGCGCGACACTTTGTCACTCTCGACTATTAATTATACGGCGACGCGCTATCTCGCGCACTAGGTATATACGAAACGTTATTACTGAACGATCGACGTATCATATACACGGCCTTTCGTTATTTGGATTATACAATTTGTTTGTGTTGCACCGCGCATTACAACCCGGATATTATCCGTAATAAAACAATGCTTTATTATTTCCGTTCGTTTGTCACGCGGATTCCCTGAGCTTGAGTGACTAAATCACGCTAGATATATCTGTTTTCGATAAAATCACCTCGTCGCGCACTTACGGACCGTGACTATCACGAGTTTGTTAAACGCGCGGTCCAATAACAGTTAATTGTTCGCGCGGAATAATCGCGTTTTGAGAAATAATAGCGCGGAGACACATCACGTAATCGCTCGCTCGAGTCTCGTAGCGCAAATGAAAACAAAACGTGGGACGATCGAGGTGTACGCCGCGGAAAAAAAAGAAGTATTGCCTACAGCTTTAGCTAATTCGTCGTCAAAAATATTCACGCATTGCGAAACAAATTTACGCGAAAAAGAAATTATTTCCCTGAATTTTCGGGCAATTATTCCCAGGCATCTCTGATGTGGCGCGGCTTTTCTCTACTCGAGCCATTCGATTCGCGCTCACTTCGCTTATACTACCGATCTGAGAGTGTAATGAAGGACAAAGTTTCATCGTTTGACGAGAGAAAAGAGCACGACGCGACATATCCGAAACAGTGCTTAGCTATAGGCAAGCAATTTGCTTGTCGTGATGAAACGATAATCTATACAATTCCCGTCTCGCGGCCATTCGATTTTCACGTCGGACGAATAATGCCGCGGTAAGTATACACCTCCGAATCCGTTTGGCCGCAGAAATGCCGCGATCTCTCTAATTGCCCGTGAGAAATTCGCGCCTGCCGTCTTTCGTTTGCTCATCGCCGATCGCGTTTCGTGAAGCAATATGCGAGAACACGCACCACTAACTACTCGCCTGTACGAGCGTCGCCGTGCGAGTGTGATTACACGACCTTGCCTATACGCACCGGCGCGGGCGTGCGGCGCCGCGCGCCGCAAAGGAAAACAAACAAGTCTGTTGCGTTGGCGTACACGTTGCCGGCACGAAATATTTAAATTTAACATACCGCAAGATAAATGGGGGGCTATATATTCTGCTCCTAGTATTTTACAATTAATCTGAATGATGAATGGGCTATATGTTGTATCATTGCACATTATGTCTAATTAATTCTTAACACTCTTCGCCAAACTTTTATCCGAGGGGATAATAAAGTTATATGCGACTTTGATAAATGTTGAAAGTAAAATTTAATCGTCGCGAGAGGATGTCACGACGATTCAATTTCTATTGGTTTATTGGAATAATAATTTTGCGCCTCTTAAAAGGGATGTAAAAAATTTGGTGCTACAAATAATAAGTAAATTAATTGCTATATTTTTCCAATTTAATCTAGTTAAACATGTAATTATATATATAAATATGTATATGTAAATATATATATATTTCTATTTAATTCTTTTTTTTCTAAATATATATATATTTTTTTTCCAATTTAATCCATTTCAACGTGTAACTAATATATTATTATTATATCAATTATATTATTATATTGTATCAATGTATTATATTTTTGACGAACATCAAAAGCAAGGCACCATACATGAGGTGAGGGCTCGGACTCGGCACTGCCGATTGCGAATCAAGGTGCGCACTGAGCTACTCATTACCCCACTTGCGACCACACAAAACAAGGATAAATTATTTTCTTTAAATTTGGATTTAATGTTAGATTTAATAATACTCTTGGGAGTGCAATAATCACTCAAATTTTTTCGTATAAAAAATTATTATTTACATATCTAAATATAGAAATTGAAGTTTGCTATTAGTAATCGATTGTTATAGTTGTAACATTTGTACAGAAGAAACCATAAGATCATTTCTATAATTGTAACATTGCATATAAGATCAAGTCTGAAGAGAAAATGGAAATCGACTTCATTTAATAATAAGTTATGAAAAATCAATAGACGATAGATCGATTATGTTTACGTATAGATGTGGTTACGGATGTATAGGTAATTGTAAACATACAAATCCTACGCGAAATTAATCAAATTTCGATTTATAACTCGAAAAGTGTCCTTCGATATTTCCATTTTCGTCTCTAAGTAATCTCGAGGATTTGCTATTGAATATATATTGTACGATAAACGTCGGACAGCTTGCACAATTTCGTATCTTTGATCGTTAAATAATTAATTAACAAAAGAAGGGTTATATATTAATATAATTACATATCGATTTATCTTGGTCGTGTGATTATTTGTACAAATTTCTTATTGCTTACTTCGATGAATATCTCTTTTTTAATTACCATCTTTTATTCTCTATCGCACATCTATACGTATTTAAAAGTATCGATGTATTGTAAGTAGTGCCATTCCTTCTACGTGACAGCTATAGCGATCGGTGTTAATGCTTCGTAAGCATGCAGGATGCGTTCGCAAGTGTGTGCGCACGCGCCAATGCGGGTGTGTTGCAAAATCGCGGTATCGCGAAATACACTGATCCGCACGCGGAATATCACGCGAAGATATGTAGGAAGGATAACGGGCTGAATGTTAAGTTAGAAACGGCGAGTTTCCCTCCGTTTACAAAATCGCGTGTCTTTTTTTTACAGGAGAAAGCCATTGACCACTTAGACTCGACACATGTGTCTAGACTGTAGAAATTGGTGGCTAATGAAAAATAAATAATACTTTTAAAAAATCGAGGATCTCTCTTATCTTACAATTAGTGAACGTTAATCCACGAAAGGAGAGATACGATTGCGGATGTGAAAAATATATCGTTATAAATATATTGAAACGAAATAGAGTGATAAGATTGGATTTACTTTGTCTCTTCGATCGTATAGATTGTAGATCGAACGCAAATTATATAGATTTTTCATATTTCTTGTAGAAATAATGAAGTTATTTAGTCACTGAAATGTCCAACTGAATAATCCAATTTTCTTTTCATCCAATAACAGCGAAAATCATTTACAGTTTTGGTTGCAATTACTGTTTCGTTCTAAAATTTTAAATACAGAAACGAGAATTTTCCTCTGTAAATGATGCTTGCTACAATTGCTTCCGGTAGTGCTAGGAATGCATTAAGACGCTTCCAGATGCGTATAATTAGCGCTGGATATCTGATTTTTATCATTGCGCAAACGCAGAACAATCGCTAGTATTCTCACATGCGATGCGAACGGCGTATCTTCAAAGTACACACTTCAAATGATTTTTACCAAGTGCATGTGTGTACAAGTCGCTTCTCTCTCTCTCTCTCTCTCTCTCTCTCTCTCTCTCTCTTTCTGCAGGACGTAAACAATCAGTTGACCAGTTAGTTATTTTAAGCACTGGTCAACTGGCGAGATATCTTTTACATAACTCTGATTCGGGTTGTTTGTTTCTGACATCACGCAGCTAAATCAAGAATTAATTTAACACGATTCTATATCGTCGTAGTAAAACATATCTATTTTTATGTGTTTTTTTCTTGTGACTTTACATGACATTCTACGAAATACATAAAGTTGAAAAATATTTCATAATTGTTAATAATCACACGGGAAATGCAATTGTAGATTAAGAGTGAAAGAGTCACGAATGTTGCGCGTACGAAGCGCGATGAAGAAAGCCAACGTCATAATAGAGATTATTCGCGGTCGGGCGAGTAACCTTTTTTAATCGAGTTGACCCTAGTCCCCCAGTCGACGATTAAACAAATTGGAGAGGTCGCGTGGATGTCGGAACGAGATCTTTCGTAGTTTATGATGCCAGCAGATATTTCGAAAGTGTAACAAGACTCGCCGGAGAATATCGCTTGCCGCTCTTATTTCAAAATTAAGCAAAATTATTGCATGTATAAAACATTTATTTAATATATAATTTTAATTTAATATAATAAAGAAAATTTGATGCGTTTTTGTAACGTGAACATTATAATTATTGCAAGTCAGATTTATATAAAAGAGAAAAATGAGAGAGGAAAAAGAGGCACGTTTGTCTTGCAATGACATCAATATAGACTGCAATTCAGGCTTATTCATTTTGAGAGGTGTGGCGACCTACATGAGACAACATAATAATACATTCGTAACTACGTCAATCCTAAGGGAGCTTTTTAATTTTAATGACCGTTTTAATTCTCTCGCTCTCTCTTTTCCAGCTGGCATCGTTAAATATCTGAATGGAGATATCCAGATTTGTGCTGAGCGGGCAATCTATTTTTAACATCTTTAAGTTACAAATTACCTTACCATATGAAAGAATTGTTCAGCACTATTACTAGTATTTTTTCGATCTTGCATATGATAATTTGTGTAATGATTTTTTTTTGCAATTATCCTGCTATGTTCACGTCATCATGCCTTATTATGCTGACGATCGTATCGCACTACATGTAAATACATATGTATCTGGTTGCGTATCGAATACCAGATATAGATGTATTTTTTTCTTATTGCAACGTGATCCACATAACTCGGCGCAACTACGACAGCGCCTTCTGCAAGCGACGATTTATTGTAGAAAACGTAGATAGATAGCAGTCATCGTTACTCGCGTTTCCACCGTCATGAGAAAATAACCAACGCGATTATTGTGGTTACAGCCTTGCTGTATACAATCTAATCGCGACGCGATAAATCTACGCTTCTTTTAACCCGGCGTGAAAAGGCAGCCGAATTGAAAAATACAACTATCAAACCGGACACTTGTCTCGATCGAATATCTGCAAGCATCGTTGATGATTCATACAATGTTACATGGAAAAAACGACGTTTAATTTTAACTACGACGTATTTTTGCACTTGACAAGATAATAGGTGTGAGACTCGTGGGTGATAATTTGGATAAAAATAATATATATTTCTATTCTTAATGGTTATCTCTTTTGTCAGTTATATTTATCTCTTTGTACGCTGAACGAAATCGATATCTAATCTGTACACGTATTTAGCTCGATGCTTAATTAGGGTCTTCAGTTGTTAAGCATTTTTAATCTATAATTGTAAACATCTATAATTATTATGTCATTATTTGTTTTTAGAGGGTTTGTTCTAAAAATAATTTAATAAATTAATTAAATTAATTAAATTAATTTAATAATAATTTTATTATTATTGATATTGCTGTTATCATTCCTCTTTCTCGTTCCTTCTCGCCTATTTCTCTATCTAGCTCTCTTTTCCTTCAATCGTTCTGTCTCTCTTTCTCTCTTTCTCACGGCGTGGTTACGCAACGCGAGAAAACGTGCCTTGCACAGCAAGGATATCCGGATGTAGCGATGCCTCGCTGAATGCCAAATATGTTTAGCAAAGTGATTTAGATAAGCCCGATTTATTCGCGCGGTGACGTAAACGGCAGCTGGAGCTGTGCATCAGATGCTCGTATGTTGGGAAATAGTTCACACGCAGGTGAAAAATCGGGATAGATGTAACAGCTTTTTTTACGAGAGTCTCTAACACAACCCGATAAACAATCTCGCACAATCGGTCAACGGCATGCTTGTCATCAAACCGAACTGAGTTCTCGCGCACTCGCGAAATAATTAAGCTAATAGTTTGGGAGTACAATTATAGAAAAAAAATCAGAAAAATCTATAATATTAAAAATATATTTTATCTGCATGAATCCTAAATATTATCTTATATTTGCATTTTTATTTATGTTCGTTGTATTACTTAACAAACAACTTGACGCAGTAAATAGCTGATTCATATGACTTACTCATATGATTTACAATATACGAGTTTAAAAATTAAGAAAATTATCACAATTTTTGATATCTTAACATTTTTTAGTAACAACTCAGCTTTACCAAAATTGAGCGTAAAAATAATTCTGAGTTCTAGGTCGTTCTGAAAATTAGTTTGCGAGCACGAGCACGAGCGGATTTATTCGCGTACACTTGTATCTTCCTCGTTATAAATAGAACC